AAACTTAATGAATCAATATCTGTGAGCCATTCTTCTTCTTCTTGTGGAAATCCTTCTTCTTGTATGGCTTATTTTTCTTCTTCTCATCATTATCTTCATCACTTGAGTCATCTTTCTTGCCCTTGTACTTGTCTTTCTTGGGTTTGGGGCATTGATGAGCTAGATGACCAAGTTCTCCACAATTATAGCAATCCATCTCGGAGATCGGTTTCCTTCTATTGCTAGTGAAGAACTTCTTGCCATCAAACTTGACACCGTTCTTGTTGAGCTTCTTAAGCATCTTGGTGGTTCTTCTCACTATGAGAGCAAGACTTGCATCATCAATTTCATCATCACTTGAGCTCTCATGTTCAACTCTTGCTTTGCCCTTGTTCTCTTGGCTAGCCTTAAATGCCAAGTCTTTCTTCTTGGTGGAAGAAGAGCCATCTTGTGGTGTGATATGCATATACATCTCATGTGCATTGATCTTTCCCAATATTTGAGTTGGTGTAGCGGTGGAAAGATCACCTTGATGAAGCACGGTCACAATATGCCCATATTTTTCAATGAGGACACTCAAGATTTTTCTTACAATATCGGAGGGTTGCATTTGTGTAAGTCCTAGCCCATTGACTTCCTCTACAAGAACATTTAAGCGTGAGTACATCTCATTAGCACTTTCTTTTGGAAGCATCTCAAATGAATTAAGCTTTTTCATAACAAGATGATAGCATTCCTCACGCTCACTCTTTGTTCCCTCATGGATCGCACAAATGTCTGACCATAGTGCATGGGCGTCCTTGTGGTTCCGCACATGGTTAAAAACATCTGTGCAAAGGCCTATAAAGATGGTGTTTGTAGCCTCTGCATTCTATTTTTCGTAATTAACTTCATCGCCTTGAAGGTTGGTAGGATCCTTAGGTTTTCGGAAGCCTTGTGAGGCCGCTCTAAGAATTCCAACATCTAAGACTTCTAAATAAGCCTCCATATGGATTTTCCAATAAGAAAAATCATCTCCCTCAAAGATAGGAGGAGGTCCATCCCCGTGGGACATCTTTTTCTAGGCGGTTAAGCCTAATTTAGCGAGCATGAGGCTCTGATACCAATTAAAAGGATCAAGATGCCCAAGAGAGGGGGTTGAATTAGGCTAATTCTAAATTCTTTCAATAATTAAACACTACACTTAGCCCACTTCACCCTTTGTGCCTAGAATGTGATTCTATTGTTCTACCGCACAAAAGTTTTGCACCCTAAGTTCTAATCCTACTCTAGCATGACAATTCTAGGAATATAAAGACATGAAATGAATTGCTCAAATATAAATGCTTAAAGTAAAGAGAGGGAAATGAACGCGGTGATATTTTACCAAGGTATCGGAGAGTCGCCACTCCCCACTAGTCCTCGTTGGAGCACCCGCGCAAGGGTGTAGCTCTCCCTTGATCCGTGCAAGGATCAAGTGCTCTCTACGGGCTGATTCTTCAACACTCCATTGTGGTGAATCGCCCACAACCGCTCACAACTTGAGTTGGGTCATGCACAAGCTCCGTTGAATGATCACCAAACTCTCAATCACCAACGAGCCATCTAGGTGATGGCGATCACCAAGAGTAACAAGCACAAACTCTCACTTGACCATGACAAGTCTAATGAGAAGGGATGGATGCACACTTGCTACTCTCCTTGCACTAATGAGGTCTTAATCTTGGATTCTGAAATCTCAATCACCTCACTAGGCTCTTGCTCTCCTTTGCACTCTCAAGGGTGTTTCTCAGCTGAACAAATGGGCAAGAGACCTTCCTTGGATGAGTAGAGTAAGTATTTATACCCCTCAATCAAAACATTACATTTGGAGGCTGAGTCATCACTCTGCGGAGTGATCAGACGCTCCGGTCAGTTATCCCCGCCACTGTGTCAGAAAGAGCCGTTAAGTTCTGACTGGACTCTGACCTGTGTTCGGTCAGCACTGATCGAACGCGTTTGGTCAAGAAAAATGCTCTCTAGAACCTTACTGATGTTGACTAGACGCTAGCACCTAGAGTCCGGTCACTTCGCTATTCAGCGTCCGGTCCGTTATCGGATCCTGACCAGCGTCCGATCAGCACTGACCGGACACGTTCGATCAGGAAACTCCCTCTCTAGGACCTCTCTGGAGTTGACCGAACGTAGGCACCCAGCGTCCAGTCACTTTTCACTCATCATCCGGTCGCAACCAGACGACTCTAATTGATCAAATGAACTGATCGGACTCACCCTTCAGCATCCGATCACAACCAGACCAGCGTCCGGTCAGTCATTTGATCCTCCATTCACTTCCAACTCAAAATCCTTTGTGAATGAAGTTTACTCCAATTGATCTTAGGGTTACTCTTGAGCTACCTAGTGCTAGATTTGACAAGTGTGCACCACACCTAACCCACTAGACTCACCTAGGTCAAGCTACTAGTCCATACCCCCCTTAATAGTACGGCCAAAGGAAAAACAAAGTCCTAAACTACTCTGAGTGTCTCTCCAACACCAAACGACACTTAGAACTAGTCCGTCCTTAACCTTGTCGTCCATCCTTTGAAAACCGAAATGATTTCCATCGTTAGGGGCATGACCACCATGATTGCCCAATCAATTGCCATTACCATGACCTAACTTAATTGCCTCTGCAAAACACACGTTAGTCATAGTAATCTCGTGTTGTCATTAATGACCGAAACCCAACTAGGGGCCTAGATGCTTTCAGTATTTATCTATTTTCTAAAATTCTATTTCTATCTAATCTTGTTTATGATATACCTTGGGTCATTCTTGTGTACAAGTTTTGCTTGTATCATGTTATTTGTTTGTGAATAGATGAAAGTATAGTGATTTTGTCTAGTAGCTCCAGCCTTTGATACACAAATCAAGTGCTTGCCCTTCCCAAAGTTTATTGTTAATGAATAATAAGTAGAATGGATGAATTAGTTGTCTATTACCATTACTATTTTAGCTCTACATCTATTTAAGGTGGTTTAAGCTACGTCGAGTTGCTTGGTGGTGAAACATTACGTCGTTGGCAATGGCTCCACATAGCACTCAATCATGTTCGGCTGCTCTCGGCCAACTACTCTGTTGTGGATGAGGGTTTGTAGTTTACGGTGCGACTGTTGGGCATACTCCATTGATGCAGATAATTAAGAATCTGCATCGCCACTAAGGTTCTGCTTGGTTGAGGGTGGACCTAGATGTCGTTGTCTTCACATAGGATAGCTCCCTGAGCGCGTCAACTCCATCTCCAAAGGTCTTTGTTGCGAATTCGGTGATCGAGTTCACCCTCAAGTTCTTCTTGTCGACGTCTGAGTTCTCCACTTTCGTCTTCTAGTTGGTTAACCTGTTGCAATAGTCGATCCCCTTGTTGCTCGGCGGTCTCTAGTTTGATTGAGGTTGTTGAGCTCTTGGAGAGTTCTTCGATCTCGACACGCTCTGGAATATACTGAGGTTGTCCTTAATGTTGCCTGCTGCGGCTACTACACCATTGTCGCCGATGCCTAAGTGGTTGTTGAGTTCCAATTCTACCATGAAACACTCCCTTGAGGGGTGATGGCTCAGCTCGCTTAAGTAGTCGGAGTCCGAGATCTCTATTGAGTAGGACCCGATTACGTCACCGATCTTAGAGATGGTCATGTTTCGAATGTTCGTGTCTAGGCTTTCTAGATCATTAGCATCTGCCATGACGATGGATCTAGAGGCGTCATTGAGACATTGATAGGTGCAGTCACCCTCCTGATCTATGAGCGCTAGGGTTTGTTGGTGCAAATTGCCTAGTGATCAGCACGCACCAGTACGTTCCTTAGTCCGATTGAGAAACCGGTGAGGGTGTCGTGCGGCAATCCCTCCTGGGTTGCATTCGATCTCCACGAAGGGGATCTCAGCAGGAAGTCGATGGCTCGGTCGAGGATATGCTCGTGGCCGTGTTTGATGAAGAGGCCCCGAGTGTAAAGATCCATGTGGCGTGCGAGTGTAGGTGAACCATTGACCATGGACTCCTCCAGTCCGGCGATGAAAATGTTGAGTGAGTGTAGCTCCTCCTCCTGCATGATCGACTCGGGATCTTGCAGATACAGATCACCAAGTTGATCTGTGACATAATCTAGGCTGCCGAAGGAAATTATGGTGCCCAAAGCGAATGTGTCGTAGCCGCTTCTATAAAAGACGATTCCCATCTGAAGGACTTGAAAGAAATCCGCGCACAAAGTTCCTTGCCTAGCGCGCCAATTGTCGTAAGATTTATCATTCGATAAGTAGATCAACGTTTTGTGCGCAGGGAATCATAGGAATAGCACACGATACACAGATTTATACTGGTTCAGGTACTAGGTACCCTATGTCAACAGAGAATGCTTCTCTTTGCGATGTATGCTCGGGTTTACAGGGGTGCTAATGAGTTTGCCAAGGTTCCTATCTATGTGGTGTTAATTCGTCGAATGGGTCTCTCCTACCTCCCCTTATATAGTTCGCGGTAGGGTTATAGAGGGAATGCTGAATAATTTAGATCTACGGTTTCTAGTTTGTTATAGAGAAATCATATCGGATCAACGTGATTTACTTGGCTCCCGATACTATCTATTCCCTCCATTTCAAATTATAAGTCGCTTTGACTTATTTGGTTCATCTATTTTGCTAGGTATCTAGACATTATTATATTTAGATGCATAGCAAAATAAATATATTAAAAAAAAGTCAAAGCGACTTATAATTTGGAACGGAGAAAGTAGTCGATATCTCGTGTTTCAGTAGTCGCCCAGCACCGAGAGTACCGAGGGCCTAATACACAAACAAATGTCTTTCAATCTAAATTATTGAGGGTAACATACACGTTCAGGAGATCAAGCTTGTTTATTTATCTGATTGTGACAGTGTGTACATGCGGAATTAATATATATGAAATTGAACTAGAAAAAGGTAATTAAAATTCAGGAAATCCTCGTTATAGGAAAAGACGTTGGGGACTATTCAATGTTGTGCTGCTGTGTTTGCAGCACAAGGCTGAGCCGCTAAAGGTGCCGCCGCCCAGCCGGGACGCGGAGGCTCCCCTTCTCCCAGACGCAGTAGTCCTTGCCGTGTGCCGCGGGGTGGATATCCGACGGGATCACGTTGCTCACGTCGTACCTTGTCCCGATCTTCACCATGACCTTCTCGTCGACGACGGCCACGTACGCGTCGGCGTCCGCGACGAGGATCCGCAGCTTGCTCGCGGCGTGGATGCCGTTCCGCGCCCGGATGGCAGACAGCGTGGATATCTCCTGCTTCAGATTCCAGTCGAACATGTGGTCGTAGAACTGGATATGCATGCACACGTACACGTACACGGATTAGCTAAAGGCACGTCTGATTTTAGGAGTGAAACTTGGAGATTCTTGTGTGATTAACGAGCACTTACGATGCAGGGGACTCCTGGATGGGTGAGGATATAGGCGTAGCCCTGCATGACCTTGTAGGACGGGAACGGCCACAGCTTCTGCGTGGACCCGGTGTCATGATTGTCGACGAAGGTGACGGCTTTCTCCGGCATCCACCCGATCATGCCAGCCGCCTTGCCGGAGCTGTCGGGCAGCCGCCACAGCTCCTCCTGCACGCCCGCCTGCAGCAGCCCCTTGGTAGTGAAGTCGAACGCCATCGCGGGCCCTCCAACAACCTGCACCCAGTTCACCAGCTCCTGCCGGCACTGGTCCTGGTTGGGCGACGGCTTGCCGTCACCGCTGTAGCTCAGGGAGTTCCATATCTCGACAACGACGAAGCTCGAGCGGGTGTTCTCCACGTACATCTTGGCGACGGCCGGCGAGTAGCCCTTGGCGAAGTCGAGGCGCCAGCTGTCGAAGCCCACGTCGTCGGACTTGAGCCAGTTGAGCCAGGCGGAGACCTCCCGCTGGACGCGCTCGTTGAGGTGGTCGATGTCGGGCGCCGCGGCGAAGCCCTCGCCCGTGTCGCGGTGGCCCGTCCCGTCCGAGTACTGCGTGTCGTCGCTGCAGATCATGCCGGGGCCCCAGTCCAGGCGGTCGTCGGGCGTCCCTCCCTCGAAGATGCAGTAGACGCCGCGCGCGTCCTTCTTCTCCGCACACCGGTGGTTGATGACGATGTCCGCCACGCACTGCACGCCCCGGCCGTGGAACGCCGCGATCAGGGATTTGAGCTCCGCCGCCGTGCGTAGTTGGACGCGTCCAGGTCGTATAGGCGCCCCGGCATGTAGCCTGCCGAGATGGTCGGCATGTAACAAACATGGGTGTACAGTAGTAATCTGCTCAGTCTGAGGTACGGTGTAGGGCAGTGAAAGTGCCTTGCGGCGAGACGGAGTGCGAGGGTGGAGGCAGCCAGACGTGCGTGACGCCGGCCTTGGCGATGTCGTCGACCTGGGCCTTGAGCCTGTTGTACCAGCCTCCCTGCTGCTTGCACGACTCCCAGTTAAACCCCTGCACGTACGTGCACAAATTGTGGCATGATAAGTTGACGAGATGTACGTTCTTTCTACGTACGATGACATTGACGTGTACAGGTACAGCTATCGTACTCGTACCTGGAAGAGGACCTGTGCCTGGTCCAGGTCGCAGGCCAGGCTGGTGCAGAGCGCCACGAGGAAGAGCAAACACAAGCTGCTCGACTGCTTCATCTCTGTCTGCGAGTGCTTCACTTATCTGAGGTTGGGTGGTGTGTGGTCGTGCCGAGTGGGCTCGCCGGGGCCATATATATAGGCCGGCGCCGGCACGGTGGTTGAGGCAGAGAAATGTTGATGGAAGGCCCCACATTAATGCGATGTGGATATATGGATAAAGGGGCCACGTAGGTCCCGCGCGGACAAGAGGGGCAGCAGCCCAACAGGCGCCGAGATGCGGCGGCGTGGTGCTGTTGACGACGAAGACCCGTTGCGGCCGCGGCGGCGGTTGCTCCCAGCCTCCCACAGTCCCACTCCCGTTAAGACGGAAGAGCTCGGCGATTGAGCTCGATCGCGGGCTGCGGGCAGTCGCAACTGGAGGCCTGAGTGGCCGCGGGGGCGCCACGACACTCGACTAGGCCGCGGTAGCTCTGACTGGACGGACGTATGGAGGCCGCCGTCGGCTTTCGCCTCCTTAAATTTCTTGACCTGGCGATGCTATCCACATCCTGAAACGCAAAACTGATCCATCGATCGAGCATTGGAGCCCCTGATGCCAACCTCGAAAAGGGAGAACTGGATAATGCTCCAATTAATGGAGCCGATGGAGCTTGCTTGGCCAACACGAAGCAATCCAACAGAAAGAGGTTCACCGTAATCTATATGCATTCAGATGCATGCATGCATCTGGATGTAGCTTGCTTGACCACAGTCATAACGAGATCATGTCAGTCAGCATCTCTGACGAAATTGGACTCGAACTTGCTGAATTGCCGACTTAGTATATTTATTACTCCTCTGCGTCCTGGTACTGGCTAGAGCATTCTAGATGGCATTTCTTTGTTCAATTGTTTGTGAAAATTGGGAGTAAAAGTGTGTAAAGCATTTCTCCGACCACAAAAGTCTCTGAAATGTCTGAAGGAAACACCTGCACCGAGGTCTGATGAAGGCTGGAAAATTCCCATTTCCCACATTTTTATTTTTTTTATATGTAATATATGAAGGTATGGCTCCCAAAGGCCAAAAGTATTAGCAAATTAAAGACAAAAAAAGTATATTACTCCTGATAGAATTGAAGAAGTGCTAAACAGTAACGGTGCTAGGTTCTTGGGCCGCGTTTTTCAGCTTGCAAATTGCCAGATTGTGCTTGCAATACCATATTGCAAAAATCTAGTCCCTAAATTGCAACATCCGTAGTCATTTTGGAACCCACCCTGCTCTTTTAATTTACAACAATCTGCAACCTGCTTTTCATAACCTGCACCTAGGACTAGCAGACTCCGATTGATAATAAAAAGAAGGGTAAAGTCCAATTTACAACCTTGAACTCTCGCCAAAGTCCGGATTTTAACCTCGAACTCAAAAACCGGATAACTTTGGCTCTCAAACTTTTAAAACCGTTCAATTTTCAACCCTGGGCTGGTTTCTGGGCAGTTTTGGTGTATAAATAGTAACTTTTGATATTTTCGGGAGGCGCCGAAATTTTATATTATTTTTTTGAGCATCTTAACGTCCTCAAATGAAAAAACTCAATGAGATCTACAACTTTGTAGTTTTGAGTTTTTTTATTTGAGGACGTTAAGATGCTCAAAAAAATAATATAAAATTTCGGCGTCTCCCGAAAATATCAAAAATTACTGTTCATACACCAAAACCGCCCAGAAACCAACCCAGGGTTGAAAATTGAACGGTTTAAGAGTTTGAGGGCCAAAGTTATCCGGTTTTGGAGTTCGAGGTTGAAATTCAGACTTTGACGAGAGTTCAAGGTTGTAAATTGGAGTTTACAACCCATTTTATTCAATTGGTATCCAATACCTTTTATGTGCTTTTGTGGTGAGAATTGAGATGCAATATCAGGGGTGGATCCAGCGAGTGTGCTGGGGGTGCTCAAGCCCTCCTACCCTGTTGGGCTCCACGGAATAGAGAGAGGGAAGTGGAAAGAGTAAGGGCTTGTTTGGCAGCAGCCAGACCAGTTTTGGACCCTGGCCAAAGTACTCTAGTTTTTAAAATAGATGGCTCCGTTCCACCCGGAAGAGGCCCTGGAACGGCTCGTTCCGGACTAAACGAACGGCGCCTAAGAGGGAAGAAGAGGGAGAGAAAGAAGATAGGGCTGAAGGAGGAAGAAGGGAGATGAGCACCTCCTGGACTTAAGCTCTGCATCCGGAACTGTGGCCTATGGATGCAACTTTACAGCCAACGTTGTAATAAAGAAGGGTTATTGCATAATGCGATGCAAATCTGGGATGTTATCATCATCTAAATGTGTTAGTTCCCTCCTGGGGTGGTAAAAGATCTGAGTCCTGGGGAACTCACTCTCGTGGCTTCGGCCACAACGATCAGGAGGGGGAAAAACTCCCTCGTATGTCCCACATCCAAAGCACAGGTCTGTGGCCAGCTTATCTCACGGAGCTATGGTGCCACTGTGTAAGGGTGTGGCACGGATTCAGGGGGGGGGGGGGTTCTCGATCTGCATGAGAAGATCTTCTTCTTAAGCCGGAATACCCGAGGGCTGTCTAGCCACCACAGATCGAGTTTTTTTTAAACGTGTTAGTTCAATACTGTCGGATACCAGAAAATGGGGTACCCCAAGCAAAGATCGAAAAACTGCTCAGACCCTAAGAACAGAACCAACAGAATAAACAAACGAGGTCTCGGCCGAAATCTCCGATTCGCCCGAGACCCATCGCCGAGCCCCAGCAGAAGCGAACGATTCTCCGACTCACCCGAGACCGCCTCGCCGAGGCCCCCTCGCCCGGGGCCTCGGAAGAAGTGCCGATTCTCCGATTCGCGTGAGGCCGGCTCGGCACCAGCCCCGTGACCACCTCTTCGACCAAACTGCTCTGACCGAACGTCGCATCCAAGCGCCCAACCACTCCGACAGACGCACGATGGCACAGTACAACGAAGTGACCGACTACACGCCAGTCGCGTCAACCTCCCTCGCCATCTGCAGCGGCACAGAGCGGGGGTTACCACCACCGTGTCTTGCCTAACTCCTGCACTCACGGACATCGCAACGTGGGGAGTCGAGCGGGTTCCTGTAGCCTCGGAATCGGCGGACCGACCGCTCCGGCTCGCTGAGCCCCCCTCGGCAGGGCCTCGGATTCACCGATCTTACTCCACCTCGCCCGTCGCCTGCGCCGAGACCCCCTCGGAAGGGCCTCGAGGCGAATTGGCGCGCTCCGCTTCGCTCGAGGCCGGGCTCGTCCCACAACCTCGTCGCCTCCGCCTCAAAAGTCTCTCTCGGCAGTTTGTCACATCCGATTAATGCGCTCGGCGCACCCGCTTCGTAAGCCCACGATCGGCGGTCTTGGGCCGCAATGGAGCGATGGGACAACGGTCGATCACCTTTTTACCATCCCTTCATCGACAATACAGTACCAGATCCTCCGTAGGGGCGCCGTCTCGCACTATTCCGCTGACGGCGGCATTTGTGACCGCATTCGCACTGGGTCACTTCTCGACCTCGCACGGCAGCCTCCTCGGCCTCAAACAGCCCTCGGCACGACCGGCTCGATGGCGCCCGAGCCTCTGAATCCACCAAGTCAACAAATGCACAACATGTTACTTGCGGTGGAGACCATACCGATTAGACATCTACGGAACTCCCACGACAATGCCATGCTGCTCCGAGAGTAATCGTCATCGAATAGTCCGCTCCACGTGTAGCTCTCTTATGTACTCCTGGTTTCC